AGCTTAAATTGAAGTGTAAGCCGAAGGAGACAAAGGAGCACATCATAATCAAGAAGTTGGGAGGTCTGAAACACGCAATCAGTAATGTGGTCCAGTTACAACCCTATTGGACACTGAGGGATATTGAGACTTTAGCACTGAAAATGGAGAGACATCAGAAGCTGAGCAGACAAACACCACCAAACAAACAACCACCCACAATTGGAGACCTTAAAAGGACCACATCTCACGGAATGGAGCAGACAAAGCAACTCCCAAGTAAGAAGAAACCTGAGAAGAGTAGCACACCAACTACAACCCCAATTAAAAAATGTTCTAGGTGTCATAGTTTTGGACACATTGCTTTCGGTTGCCCGACATGCCGAGTTGTTACCTTCACCGATCATGGGAGCAGTGGAAACGATTAAAAAGCTTAGTGAGGTCCGTAAAGCAAGAACCATACCAGCTCATTGCTTTCGTTATATTGTGCATTATTGTTGGCCCGCTTGTAACACCAAGGTGCACAATAGAGCCTACAACACTCCAAATATTATTGCTTCCATAATTCTCAAAGTACTCACGAAGACCCAACTGCATCTATCCTGTGAGCAATGAGATGCTAGCCAACATACCAGTTCGGTTCCTTATTTTGGCATCCTCCCCTCCTTAAATGGATTAAGGTGAGTGACGATGGGGCCTTTCTACCCTCTGGGATTGCCGCCACGGGAGCCATTTTTCATAATGAGCAAGTGGTCGGTATCATTGCAACTAGACAACAATTCCAACACTAAGATAGCGGCCAAGTTGAGCTTCAAGCCATCCAATCCATCCAGCATGTGTGTCTTCCTTGCATGTTCAAATGTAAAGACCTCATTATTGAAGGTGACAATGTTAATGTCATCCACTTTTTGAGGTCGACTATAAAAAAAGAGATCTAACAGAAAGAACCACAACATGCCTCGGTTTTGGGTTCTCACCTTGTTCAAACAAGTCATTTGTTGTCATACTTCTAGAGAACGTAACAGGGCAACTCATTTTTGTGTGAATTTTGCCCTTCATGAATCTTTTTTTTTTATGCATGTAGACGAGAGGGAGGTTTCTTTTTTTGTAAATGATATGGCTCATTTTTTATGATAGATACACATGCATAAATTTGGTACATTTTCTGTTATTTTAATGCAAAAAGCAATATTCAAGTAGGAAGTTAGTGACAAAGAAGCAGCTAAAGTAAAGGGTGAGGAGAATCAGCTTCCACTAGATAAGGGTGAGATGTTTGTGGATCAACGAGTCCTCCAGTTTGAGGCACCGAGGGAGCAACAGTCCTTTCGTCATCATATATTATATAATCGTTGGACTGTGAAGAGAAAAGTATGCGGCATCATCAACAATAGAGGTAGTAGTAAAAGTGTAACATCAATATTGATGATAGACCAGTTGAGCATCATGAATCAGAGACATCCCCAACCATAAATGATCAAGAATAACAGTAGAATCAACACTGACAAGCGGTGTGTCGTAGAGTTCTCGATTAGGAACCAGCTGCAGGATCAGATATGTTGTAATGTGATGCCGACGAATGTTTATTACCTTTTGTTGGGGAAGCCATGAGAGTTTGAACGATGGACTCAGCATGACAAGTTCAGGAACATCTACTCCTTCACCAAAAATGGTAAGCACATAGCCTTTTATCTTATGCGGAGTCTGAGATAATAATTGCTATTTCGCCTTTGCCAACAAAGAAGTGTCACCATGATCATTTTTGAGATTACAGAGGATGGTGAGATAGAAGAGCTAGTTTCAGACAAGGGGAGCCATTACAGGGAGCATTTTAGAACATCATTTTCGATAGCTTGCAGCCATGGCCATCATAAGTTGAGAAGGTTCAGTTTGTTCTCGCTTCAAATTAGGTTGAGCCAGCATAGAATTACTTTTTAAAGATCAGAAACATATACATGATACGCAGGCCTAGTTCAATTAAGAATATACCCCTACAAGAATGGACCGATATGGATAGCTACTCGCAAGTGGAGAAACTCCTCAGATGATTTGGGAGACAGTGCATTTAACAGTAAGGTCCAGGTGCTTCTAAGGCCACAATAAAAAATCCCTCAACCTCGAGAGGTTACAACAGTTTCATCACCTTCAAAGTGCCGTCAGAAGCTTTGACAAATAAGGTCCAAGCTCCTCCAATCTCGAGAGATTGATGAGGTGCATCTTTGCCCTCAGACGAGGTAGATGCCACGATATTTCCACAAAACAATTCAATCCAGACAAAGAAGGGAACGACCGATCCTTCCACAAATGAGTTTCCCTCCTATTTGTAGTGAGGCGCACTCCTTTTTACCCTAGTTCTATATTTATGTTATTTGTTCGTGTTTAGGCCTGCTTTTTGCTTATGAATTTTGTTGGACAGTCTTCGGCGTTCTCTTTCACCCTTCTAGGGCTGTATCCAAAGGCGGGTGGTGCTCCGATTGTAGCTCGTCCGAGGTGGTGATCATCTGTCACGGAAGCAAAAGGTGCTCTGATTGTAACTCACTCTCGAAGAGGTAGTTATTCTCAACTCCTTCCCTCCTTCGCTGCTGCAACTCCCCTCTCCTCGCTACAACCGCCCATGGCAACATTACAATTGTTATTTTCTATAGTTCCAATTGCCACTATCACCTTCCCCTCGCTCTACTTCGCTGCAACAGTAGAATTAAACAAACCACATCGATGTCGCCACTGCCAAGCCATCATGTACCACTGTCGCCACCCAAGAACCCCTTCGCCATATTATTTTCTGCAGCCAAGAACCTCCCAGCCCACTCCCCTTCCCCTGCCACCCAAACCATCCCTTTACAGTCCTATTCCCGCTATTCCATCCCTCCCACTTTGCCACCGAAACATAGAACAACTAGGAAACACCACCTCTCAGCTGTATCCTAACTAAGCACTCCAACTTTATGCTGCCACCAACCAGGACAACAATCATACTTGTTGCCCGCATGATGCAACCATCCTGTACCACCACGTCTTTCTGTCATTCCAATCCACCTAGCCGATCTCCATCACCCCTGAATCAACTCCTAGTCGAGTTTTTGTGTTTTGTTTGTATTGTTTTTCCTTTCAAATGTGTTTGGTTGTAATCTCATATTTATTCAGTAATAATATTTTCTATTGTTCTTTAACTCCGGTATCACAAATAGGGTTGAATGAATTGAAAAATGATGAAGAACCTATGCACTATAGGCTTTTCTAGTTTAACATTTTACCTCAAGAATCAGTCAATAAACACTCATTCATCATACAATTTAAAATAAAAAGAGAGTCCATCTTTCCCTAATTACTCGAAATTGTTTCCTTTTTCTGTGAGGATCTTATGAGTCAAGCTGATATAGAAAGCATGCAATGAAAAAAAATAGTGAAATGTTAATAGCAACTGAAACTTTGTCTAAACATACATCCATCAACGTATACTACAGAAATATAGAAGTCAATAATAAAAAAATAAATATTCTATAAAATATGGTATATATATATATATATATATATATATATATATATGATCACCAAGAACCAAGTTCTTTGAAGCAAAAAAGTGCATGCGGAAGCCCAACATTCAAAGTCAACGATCCGAATCTAAAAAGTAAAATCTGACAATGCCAACCAACATTACAGCCATACATGTGATTAATCTAGCAAAATGTGTTGAAAGTCCCCACTCTATTGTTTGAGTGTTGTCCCTAGCAAACTTCTTGACACAAATTATTTTAAAGTTGGAAACTTACTGCTTTTCCGAAAAACTAAGATTGAAAACTCTATCCTTTCTAGAATTCCACTATTTTTGTTTAAAATAAGCAATATTAGGCTAGCTCTTGGAGACTAGGGGGAATTTCTCATTATAGAATTTTCTTAAAAATAAATACGATACTGAGGAATGTAAAGGAATTTGAACGAATGAATAGTGAAATAAAATTATATTTTCTCTTAATTCTTCTGTTTTTGGATGAAAATTATTATAAGTTTGGGAGATGATTCCTCTTTAATCTACGTTGACATGGGCCTTCCAAATAATAATTTCAAACCTCAGTTTTTATCTTTTTCTAAAAATTTGATGCATATTGATTTCCGTTTTTTTTTGTGTGAATTTCATTCACGGCAGAAGTAAAACAGTTCTTAGAATCCTGATGGAATTGTATCAATTTTTGTTGGATTTTAAATTACTGCATAGAGAATAAACTATGTTGACAGTTTTATAGCAAAACAGATTGGTGATTGCCTTAGTTAATAGTTAGGAATTTGTTGTAATATTTTGTGTTCTTCTTTACACATTTTATTCCAGGTTTGTAATAGTAAACCACGTACATTAAGGCATACATCAAATTGCCATCATATCTGATGGATGCATTACCATGTCATCTGAAAGTGTAAGATACTAATTGGGTCGATCAAAAAATTTATAAAATACGCAATTTAAACAAAACCACAAGTTATGGGTCTAAACAAACACACATTAACTACCATGTGGATAAAAATTACATGCCAACATTCAATAAGAGGCATAACCTACAGGCATTTTCGCAATGGGTCAATTTTAGAATAGTTCTTTAAGTATTAACATTAATCTGATATTAGAATTGCTTAAAAGTGCTAAATATCTAAGCTAGTGAGCCGTCCTCAATTATTTTGGTAAATATTAAACCAAAATCTATATGGGTTGACGTAAAAAATAAACTTAAAGAGTAATGTACATCATTTGGTGAAGATATAATGGGATGAACAATTTAAGCATTGTAAGGTGGATATGAGGTGTGAGAATATTATGATAGCTTATGAGTATTGTAGATCACAGGTAATTTTCACAAGTTTCAATTTTTTTCCTAGAAAATGAAAATGTGAGCATGCCAAAGAATTGAGAGTCCAATTCAAGATTGGAAGCAAGAAAAAAAAAATACCAACCACAAATAAATTAACATGCCAATTAATTTTTTTTCAAGCTAAACAAGGCAAATGCTAAAACAATGAAAAGTTGTGATAGTAACCTAAATCGCTTTTGATCGCCACATGTAATTATTGCATAAGGGTCAGATGTGCCGTTCAAGTTTGCACCAATTAAGTTCTTGGCAGCTAGAAGTTCCAGCTGAAATAGTACCAAAAAATGGTTCACTAAGCAAATCAAAGAAACGATCTGAAAAAGGATAACTTTAGGCCTCAGTCCAGTAGATGGTTCTCTTCTCATTCAATGAGAGAACTCTTTCCTACCCAGAAAATGAGAGAAAATCTACAGACTACTTAGAGAGGAAAGTATAGAACCAAAAAAAATACCTTAATAACGTAGGAACCAACTTGAAAATCCCCTTTCAACTGGTTCATCTACAAAATAAGGGGACAACTGCATGTCAAACAAATTGAAGAATTATTTCAAGAAACAAATAAGAAGCTGAAACAAAATTTAAGTGTAGAAAAAAGATATAAGACTGCAACAATTTATGTGGCAAATTGCTAAAAATAATTTATGTGATTTAAAGGATTTGAAGTAGTTCAAGATGAATAAGTTGCCTCGGTTAAGCATAAAGCATCTAAATATCTGTCAGATATCCATCAATTATACAATATAGCACCATTCATTATTAGCTGCCGTTATAGAGGGCAATAACCTCCTTATTATTTCTCAAAATCTTAGCGTGATGATTAGGATCAAAAAAAGGATAGATAGAGGGGAAGGTTCGTATCCATGGGTGGCTTTATGGCAAAGGTCAAGGCAGAAAAGACCAAAATTTTAACATTTAACAAAGTCAAGTCACATTTCTTTAATCTAATAAAATACTAACCGATTCATTCCATATGCATTTATCATTATACCAAAGCCATGACAACTTCGTTAAAATGTAAGATTATACATCATAAGAGCTTATAATATGAAAATATTTATCTACATGTAAAAATGTTATCAAGGTACATGTGCTTACATCAAAAAATTATAATAACAAGTCCCTGCAAACTTGTGTTCATTGCAAGCTACATGCTTTATATGAGCATGTTTATTAGTGTAAAAATTGAAGTGAAATGAACTGTCAATTTAAATAAAAGAAATCCAACATTTAGTTTAACTAGAGGAAGATTAGGGTGGTACCTTTGGTTGGTTCTTGTTACCACTAATCTCATTTTTTCTTAAGTGAGACATGAAAATTCCTTTCATCAAATATTCAAAAATATACAGAGTCACAAGTGCATTTGTTTGAATTTAAGTTATTTTAAGAGAATCAATCAGAAGGTTAAGGAACTCATCCAATTACTTTAATCTGCTATTTCCTCAACACCAACAATTTTATGTACGTGTAGCTCAAACAGATCTACAATTACTTTCAACAAACACAAAAACTCACCAATGGATATTTAGTTTCTGAACTTCTTAAGCTTAATGTTAACAAAGTTGGGACAAAACAATTGATCAATACTAGAAACTCCTCTTCATGGCAAAGTCCCCAGCCACAAGAAAGATGGGAAAACTCAACTATTATTTACTAAGAACCAAGCGTGAGTTGACAAAAAATAATAAAATATTGAACTGCTCAATGGAATCATACTTTAGCTACTTCATGAAATGGTTATAATTGAGTTGTTGAAATAGGTGTACTTAAGCCGGTCACATATCAAAACATAAATGCTCACAAAGGCTTCCATAGAATTAAGCCACTAACAAATTTAGCTTACTAGCATTTACTTATTAAGGCAATAAATTTCTTCTAGGTTTAGAATTTATATTCTTCGAACAAAATGCATGCACCATGTTAACTTTATACACTAAATTGAAATTTTAATTATGCTATTTTTTTGATAAATTTATGGTTTTTTATCTTGCGCTAATAAGGTTGTGATATATTAAATGTTAATGATATTGGTAATGATTTCATATAGTGGGGATCAGGTATTACTTATTTTAGGCTATGCCTTATTTACTACACCGCAATTCAACCGATAAGTCTTGCATTCGTGTATCCACTTGTAGTTTATAGTCCCTCAAAAATAAATGGTACCCATTATAACTAAAACTTTAATTAAGTATCATTTAGAAGTTTCTCACAGCCACTCTTATAAACATGACTTTATTATGGAGCACACGCATATTCTGAAGATTTTTTCATATTAAATTTTAAGCATGTGACCAATTATTTTTAACATGTTATATATATGTGCATGTGCGCGAGAGAAAGGAGAAAGAAAAATTGATTAATCTAACATCTTGTATCTCTCTCTCTCTCTATCTATCTATCTATCTATCTATCTTTCCCTACAACTGTATCAAGGATATTAGAGTCAAAAATCATGCTCATCTATCATCATCTTGTACGCCTCATCTTCATCATCGAACAAACAAGTTTCACAACAAACCCAATCCATCTATTGTTCCATAGTGACTACAGCATTTTATGTGATCCCACCATGTTGCCTCACCATAAATTCATCCACACCTTCCCTCACACTTTAACTCATGTGAACTTTGACTAACTAAGACTTTGTAAGACCTCATCCAAGCCATGCCTTTGTTGCTACCTGCTACATATGTTGCAAGCGTTAATCGCCACATAGTGCCTACAACCCACTCGTGTGTGCAACCATCCCTATGCACCCACTTATACCCTCCATTGTGCACCAACCCTAGACAGGCTGCATTGCATCCCATAAAACCTCACACACACCCATTTTGGGCTACTGCAACCCAATATCGACCTCCCACAAGATCGATGTGCATAAATGATCTTACCAAAGATTAATGATACACCTTTGTCTTAAGAGCCTATAACCACTATTGCTGCTCCACAACCTCTACAACTCAAGGTATAGATTGTTTCTCAACTATCATAACATCCTATGTCATTGGCCAACTTTGATTTTCCTTTGTTTCCACTATCAAATGTCATATTTGTGTCCATAAGCTATGGAATAATGCCAACTTTATACCATCACCAATGTCACAACCATATTTTCATAGGATATTTTCCCATGTTATTAATGTGGTTGATAATGTACATTGACATTCATATCCAAAATCTCCAAATTCTTCATAAATCGTTTAGTCAAATACAACCATGCTAGTCCTTATAGATGGTTCATAATGCATGCATATTATAGAGTAATAATTATGCAAGAATCAAGTTCGTCTCCGTCGCCACCTTGTTCACCTTTCAAATCTCCAAAATAATTTATTTTTTCAAGGTGAAATGAAGTGAGACACTCATGGTCATCATAGTATTTTTCATATTAGGAGCCCTGGTCTATCTATATAATGAGATATAGGGTATGTTGGGGCAGCTTCAGCTTATCAATAAGCTGCTGCTATTTAGCTGCCCCTGAAAACTACTGCGGGGAAGCTAACTTACTGTTTTTTTTTACGGTTTGAAAACAACTATGCAGCAGTTGTATATGGACAAATGACAATTTTGCCCCTATATAGTATTGATGTTTGTAACAAAACTGTTCTAGTCATATATTTAATACTTCATAAGCAAAAATTCACTTTAAAACGGTACAAAAATCTAGATAAACACCTCACGTAACAGTGAATATCAAGTATGCTACAACTAACTCACTCAAACATATCTAACATCTAATTGTTGATTACATCCCCAAGCCATATCCTCAAAAATTTCTTTTTCTTTCATATAATTTACCAAACAAAAAATTTAGCCACCAAGAACTCACTCAAACATCAAGCATTCACATCCATACCACCAAACAATATTTACAAATGTAACATCAAAAATCTAAAGAGCAAACATTCGCATGGATACTTGCACTCAAAGAATGGTTCCTGAAATTTCTATTTCTAAAAAAGTGCTTACCGCTATGGAACAGAGAAGAAAGAAGAGGAAGAGGGACCATGTAGCGTTAGAAACGCAGGAGAGGAGGAGGAAGAGGAGTAAGAGATTGCAGCTTCGTAGAGGAGTTCGGCACTAGGATTAGGGTGGACGAATCTCGAAGGAAAGGAGGGCACAGCCGTAAAAAACAAAATGAAACACGTGTCACGGGGTCGAACCTGCGGCCTGCATTTTATGATAAACGTGTCGCACCACTAGCCTACAGCCACCCCAAACAGTGAGAACTCGCAGCAGCGGGCCACGCCGCTGGCCTACCGCCACCCCGAACTGGGCCATAGTCTTGTATTGAAGGAAATTGATTGATTTTTTGAATGAAATATAAATTGCTATTTAAGTCATGTATATTATGTGTGTTTCTCTCACCCTCTCTTCTCCTTCCACTCAATTTTCCACATGACGTTACGTTGAATGCTATACTTCTGTAATCCATTTTAAAAGTTAGTACATCAAACTCAGAATTTGTATGGTTATTTAATATTTCTTTATGATGATTTAGTAAAATTAGATCAAATTACTCATCAAACTGCATATATGCAGATGTCTGAGCATATAATTAGAAGAACCGAATAAACCCCAAAACCCATGGTACATGTGCATAAAGATTGTCAAACAAAATGCCCGTGCATCCAGGTTATAATACCATCATAAACAATAAACAAACAAAATTTGGCACATGCATGCCAAATCAAAGCAATTTTCCAAGTAAAACCCCCCACAGTTTCTTGACCGAAACCCATATCCAACCACAACCCCATGCCCATCTCTCCTCAACAGAAACTCTCGGCTAAGAAATAAAAAATGAATTCAATAACATCCAAGAAAGGAATAAATTTCAACATCTGACCTTCTCCTTGTCATCACACTCCCTGAGGAGCGGGTCCTTGGCAATCAGCGCCTCATCTCCGCCGGAAATCCTGTCGTCATCCTTTCCAATCCCTTCACCACTACCAACACAAAAACCAACCCTTGATATCCTCTCGAACAATGAGTATACAGCGATCACCAAAAGCGCGGCAGCGAAGGTGACCTCAATCTCCCACCACGACGGGAGGAACACCTCTAGCGAGATTACCGCCATGCCGGACCACGACGGCTGTGCCGACTACAGTTTTCAGGAGGCGGAAGGCTAGTTTTTCTCGCCCGCGCCGGGCACACCGGAACGAAAAGCCATGAAAGCAACCGGTTTCAGAGAAGGGGGCGAGGGGAGGGAAAGGGGCAGAGAGAGATTGGGTCAACCAAACTAGTTAGTTGGAGGGAGACGGCAAATTGCAGTGGAAATAAAAGAAAGTAGGCTTTTGGTCTTTATTTGGAAACTGTTTAAGGACCCACGAACTCACGAGGAAATAGTTGTTATGAAATTAACTAAATAATAAGAAATAAAAAACACTCCATCCGGCACAATACTTTCATTTATAATTTTTAAATTAATGTTTTGGTTTGGGTTAAATAACTTTTTAAATATATATTATAATATCTAAACTTAATATATATTCATATTATTTTGTATAATTTTAAATAAACTCTAATACGTCAGTTTGGTTTCTTCTGTGCAATTAACGAGATGAGAGTAACTTCCTCCACGAATTTAGGGTTTCATGTGTTATAAAGCAAAATGTTTGTACGTAAGTCACATTGGCCTAGCAGTTGAACTTTTTATCTTTTAACCAAGAGGTCTTATATTCAAGATTTTGTATATGCGGTGTACGTGTTTGCATGTGTGTATAGAAGAAAAAAATGGTTGCACAGATATTAAATTAGAAAGAGAACTATTTCATTTCATGTTAAATAATGAAAACGATAATCAATGAACCCAAAAAAATAGTATAGTATTCATAATTTAATGAAGTAATATGTGATGTCATTCAAGAGGATGATTAATATTTTGAAGCTGGACTTTTTGAAATTCAAATGATAAGCAATAATATCAACTATGATAGTAAGATTGATTTGAGAAATTTTTAAATTTCAACATAAGACATTTCCGCTAATAGCTTATTGAATTTTTTTTTTTTTTTGTTCAGCATATTTTTTCTCTAAACACTGATAAGAAGTGTAGCACTAAAGTTAAGAAATGCAAAAGACAAAAAAAAAACTTATAGAAATTATAGAAAAAAATACGTATTGGTTTCAAAAAATAATTATAATAAAAGTAAAAGTATTGTATTCGTTCTTTAATAATAGTGACCAATGGTATCACAACTAACATTTAATATAAATAATTGTAGAAAAAAACAAAATTTTCACAAACATCATCAGAACGTGATGAAGAAAATGTAAAATAATTCTACAAAATTAAAAAGTTGTGACAATATTGGTTGACTAATAACAACAATTGCAAAAACAACCAATAACTACACATTCTAGAGTACTTGGAGATTTCATATCTTCTATAATTTTAGAAGTCATCTATCTGATATCACTCTTTTTGGATCAAAAAACATATTAGTCTCCAAAGATGCTTTGTTGACATTAATTTCAGTGAAACATACTCATCACCCATGTTTATGGTGTGTTTAGAGTAAGCATCACAAACACTAGTTGAACTACACCTACCCCAACCATTGTTGATTAGGTTGATTTTCTAACCAACTATCACTTCTCTTGTATCATGTTGTCCTAGTACATATCATGAATGTGCACTGAGTTGTATCATTTCACAAACGTGTCAGGATCTTTATTTGGGGTACCATAAACCCTAGAAAGACTAATTAACTTTGAGAAGTCTAAGTCCTACTTGAATCAGTTGACCTTTAGTTTGGTGTGGAAACATGGTTGCAATACCCAAGAGAACACCTCACATCATTACTAACCTATAAATTGAATTTTATAAGTTTTGATATTCATTACAACAAGTAATGATACATGCAACAATAAAATTACCAATTTTCAATATGGATTAATATTAAAAAATATTTCAAAACAAAATTAATTAGAGTGACAAGCATCTAGAATCATGAATCAAGAAACCAACCTATAATTTTGTGTATGCCTATCCAAATCGAAAAACAAGGAGCTTAGACTTACCAAAAAGAGAACAAATGGTTGGATCGGGATTAGATCATAGTTATTACCTATATATTTCTATTGATTATAAAAATTTATTAATTTTCTATGATTTTATCTGGATTCCAAAATAATGAAAGATTCATGAACTAAAAAGTCTAAATCTCCATGATATATGAAAGTATCTTTCTCTTGTGTGACGTCATCTACGACACACTGCCACTCTTTTTCCACTCATTTATGGTAATATTATTTAAATAAGTAACATAATGAATTATAAAAAAACAAAATATGTAATTACATTTCAAAAAATATATAAAAATTTTAATCATTAATCGTATAGAGATAATAACTATGATTTAATATATAACCAGCTATTTAATCTCCCCTTGATCTTTTCAACCCCTCAAGTTGAGTCTTAATAAAAATAACTGGACAAAGAAGAAAGAGATGTTAATCTTCCCTTTACTAGATAACCAAAATTAGAAGAAAAATTAAAAGCTTGTCTCACTTGATTTTGATATTAACAATATATATATATATATATATTGAAAGGGTGATGCATATATAATTCCATAAATTTGGTAGTTGATGCGCCTCTAGTGTTTGTTATTTTTCTGTGTATTATGTTTCAATTTAAATCCCTAGTAATAGTGCCAAAAACTTGATCCGTCCCAAAAATACGTAGTAATTTTGCTTTTAAAAATATGGCAAAAAACTTGACACAATTTATATTTAGTGGTTAAAATCAAAATGTTATAAAATATATAAAATAGGTCACACACTAGTGGTTCTACGCAAGTGCACGTATCACTTCAAGTAATATAGGCTTTCTTTAAGAAACCTAGTATCGATTCCACAGAGAAGTGCAGTAAGAAATCCCTTAGGCTAATCCTAGTCTACTACTATCAACTCTTAGTTTGGAAAATGAAAATTTATATGATAGTAAAATAAATTACGATTTTCAAACTATAAAAATTAAAGTAAGAAAGAAAAGTTAAAATGAGTTTAATGAATACTAATAGAAATGTAACTAAAAAAACTAAGTTAACTAAGTTATTTGCTAAACTTCAAAAGTAGTTCTCACAACAGATTTTAACATCTTAATTGGTCAAATCAAGAAGTAAATGAAGTGTAAGGTCTTCAATCATCCCAACTTCTTCTAACATTGAAGTCTAATACTTTACACAACTTCCTTTAAATATTTAATCTCTTATCATTTTAAGGAAAAAGATAAAGAAAACTTCTCAAATACCATGGAGAAAACATAACCACACAGGAGTTTAGAAGTAGAAATTATGCACACAAACAAGAAATCTAAATTAAAAACTAAGTGTAGTCACAAAGATAAACACTTATCTCAAATTCTCTCAGCCAAATGTCTTGAAGTTCCTTTGAATTCTCTTCCTTCTCTCACAATACAAACTAACACTCAAAATAAAATAAAATAAAGTAAAGATGTCCAACGGCGGCGACGACGGTTGTAAATTTTGGTGGTTGCTTGCTGGCCTCTTCTTTTGGAAAATCTAACTTTTTTCTTATAAAAATCCAAGGGGTGCCTTGGTTTCTCTTCAAAAAGGTGTCTCCATTCAATGAATTTTCTAGAAGTTGTCTGCTCAAAAGGCAATTGAATTAATTTTTGTGTTCATGGGCTATTTCCGACGTTTTTTCTCAAGGGTTGCTTCAAAAACCTCTTCAAAATTTCGCTCCAATTAATATTTCTTTAAGTAACTAACTTTGGCACTTAAGCGCAAAGTACGTGGTGCTTAGGTGCGGATGCTCTAGCGCTTACGCGTCCCAGTTCATTTTTGCACCTTTCTTTATTTTTGCTCCAAATTTGACCATTTTTCACTTATTTTAGCATTTTCCATCCATTTGATTGTACCTACAAGAAAAACACACCAATATCTTTCATTAAAGTGCAATATCTCAAAAATAGGTATTAAAATTTGTACAAAAATACTATATATTTTAGGTATATCAGCTAACCCTGGGTGGTGTGGCCTTGGTCAGTCTTGCACACACACACTTGAACCACTTACCTTCACTCACAACCTGAACCCTTAACCAAACATGCTTAACCTGGTTCCTGGTCCCTATTCTCCTTACATGTGTCAAAGCGATGTATGCAATTATATAATTAATTTCCTTAATTATAATTCTTAACTTATAATAAAGCCAAAAACTTGATCCCAAGAAAAGGCTAGAAAAATTCTTAATTTCAAAGCAAGTAAGAATACATTTATAATATTTAATATGGGACAGTTTGAAAGTATGTATATCGTTATGAAGTAATATAAGAATTTTTTATTAAGCCCTGAATATCTAACCCATAGGGAAAACATAATATGTACTTTATAAAATAAGAGAAATTAGATAATGAAATTCTCCTTAGCTAAATAATCTTACTTAAACTCTAAATATTAAAATAGGAATGAAAGTTCAATTCTTTTTGTAATTTTTGATAATTAAGAATAAACTAAACAACTAACTAACTTAACTAGATATTTGCAAGATGAAGGCAATATAAATAAAATATATTTTTCTTTATCATAAATCAGTAACAAGTATAGGAATTTTGTTGTGAAAGTATTTTAATTATGTTGTGCCAAATAGGAGCAATAAAATTCTTAACCTTAGTAAAGATGTTATTAAGAAGATTGGCTAATCTATAATTTGAATTGTTTTGAAGACGGGTTAGGTAAGGAAGGTGCTAGCTCTCACTCTAGATTTCCCTCTTCTCCCTCCACCTGGGGGCTAACATCTCGTATCAAAAACTAAAATTACAAATGAAATTGGAGGCTTTAGCCTGTCACTCTAAAGTCCTCTAATTCTACACTCTTCAAAGTTTATTTCCCTATTTATTTGCCCCATGAACTATTGAACTATATTCTCATCCATGAAATTAAATATGATTCTTACCATTTGTTGACTGAGACAATGCCATCTCGGATCTTACATGTTCTCACAACAGTTATTAACTTCTTAATTGGTCAAATCAAGAAGTAAATGAAGTACAAGGTTTAAAATCATCACAACTTCTTCCAACATTAAAGTTTAATACATCACATAACATCCCTTCAATACTTAATCACTTATCATTTTAAGGAAAAAGATAAAGAAAACTACTCAGAATTCATGGAGAAAACACAAATTCAGAAAACTACTCAGAATTCATGGAGAAAACACAACCATACTTGAGTTTGAAAGTAGAAATCATGCACATAAACAAGAAGCCTAAATGAAAACCAAATTTAG